ATGCGACGGTGGTTATCGATCGCTCGCATCTAACATCTCACTCCACACACCCGCTTACCAGTCAATCGCGATTATTGATCACCCGTTTGCACGTTAGTGCAAAAGAGCCCATCGATAGACCGCATGAACGTGGCTTTGGTGACAACTGTAGGAAGAATGACCACATTCGAGTGCCCCACAGAATTGCAAAATAAACTTTGTAGATTTTTTTCGCGAAACCATAAGTCGTCGTTTGTCTCAGCCTGGGTCACCTTTGGAAATCAACAATCAATCAATTGTACACTCCAATAATCGACCTGAACTCCGAGCAATAACCAAGGCAAACAACTTCAACTCATACAACAACTTCTGCACCAGTTTTAGATAACCCACTTCATCATTAAATTCTAAACAGGCGATTTCTTCTTCAAAAAGTTGGTCATCACCTAATGAGTGAAGTCTTCGATCAAATCGCATTTATTCTCTGGTAACTGCATCCACAGCTGCATCAATGTGGACTGACAAAATGGGCTACTCCATGCATGATACTCTAAATTGATTGAACCATTCGCACAATGTGGTAGCTGTCGACCGTGCAGCTCAGGGGTGACGGTTTGAAATCCCGACCCGACTGATCGCGGTTAGAGTCCTGACAGGGACGCAAAAAGTACGCACTGCTGACGAGTCCCAAACAGAACGAAACAGCTGTCCAGTACTATTTGTTGATTAGCCCAAACATTTCCATTGCATTTGAAGACGAGTTCTTCTTCAAAAAGATACATAATGAGTAAATTCCTCGATTTGATCGCATTTATCCTCTGGTGGCTGCATCACTGGCTGAATAAATGTGGATTTGAACCCAGTTTTCATGAAAGCGCTGATCAGTAAGTGCAGGTGCACAGACACTCAAGCTTTCTCTGTATTTTGTATTTGTATAACTAGTGTAAGCATATATGCTTACATTGACCAGATGCATAGCCATGAGAATGCCCACCTTGGCTTTCATGATAAGTTGCCCATCTTCGATCAAAGACAAAATATATTCCAGTAAATGTTTTCGAAAGGAACATTTGAAAGAACAAATCACGCCCAGATCCTATGTTTGTAACATTGAAGAACGGTTCGCAGGTAACCGTACCAATTTGAGGTTGGAGGATACTGCGGCTTGGTTATGGCAAGGGGCGTTGTCCAAAATTGTTCAAATAGAGCGCCTTTGAGAAACCATTTTGCAGTTGACATCGGACGGCCAACTGTGAAATAACGTAGTCATCCATGCGTTCTTTGAAGAACTATAACTTCATGGAAGGCTTTTTCCATCTATACCTCGGGGGCCTCGTGGAGTTTGGAACTTTCCAATCACCAACGACGATAACTTTTCTTCAGTCATGCTCCTACAGAGCAGTAACGTGACCCTCTCTTTGGATTTCTTGGACCCAGAAACTGTCTTTCCTTTCAGACTTAATGTTCATTCTGGGAGCAGTCTGTAATACAAAGCTGCTTTATCAACATTGAAAATATCACAGTCAGCATATCCATATATCAACTACGGTAACCCCACTCGAAACGGTGAAGACCGTGAAGTCTCGTCCTTCAAGGAGATGGCGGAAGTGGCGGATTCCAATATAGATCGCCAGGAGTTCTCGACCGAAGGCGCTATAACTTATCTAGGTCGGTCTGAGCTTCTTGGAGAACAGAGCTCTGGGTTGCCATTCCTGTCTCACTTGTTGTTGGAGGACGGCGCCAGCTGCCTGGTCGGATGCATCGGTGACGAGTGCTAGTAAGGCGGAGGGGTCTAGGTGAGTTAATGTTGCGACGTTGCTGATTGCTCGTTTCAACGCATTGAAGACGCCCCGAGCAGCTTGTGTGAACACTAACGGTTTTGCTTTACCCCTAAGTAGATCAGTGAATGGCTACATAAGTTTTTCACACTGAGGGATGAAGCAACAATAAAAGTTGACTAAACCGTCGAAACGTCGGTGCTGCTTAAACGTGGTGGTTTCCCGGTTGTCTATTACCGCCTGAATTTTGTCACTTAGTAGCTCGATACCAGTAACTGTGATGCGGTGACCGAGGAAATCAATTTTGGAGGCACCGAAAACACATTTTTATGCGTTGACCATGACAGCGTGCTGTGCCAAATGATCAAAAAGTGCTCGGTGATCCAGATATTCCTCTCGCGATGAGCTAGCCACTAGAATATCGTCGAAGTAAACAAAAACTGAGTCTAAACCTCTACAAACGTTGTCGATGAAACGTTGGAGGGACTGTGCGGTGTTGCTTAAACCGAATGGCATTCGGAGGAATTCGAATAGACCAAACGGTGTGACTACGGCTGTTTTAGGAATGTCAGCTTCTGCTACCGGTATCTGGTTGTATGCGCGAACCAGATTGATGCGGCTGAAGAAGGTTCTACCGGCTAAGTCTGACGTGAGATCCGTGATGTGGGGGATCAGGTACCCATCCGGGGTTGTCACGCGATTGAATGCACGATAGTCTCCACATGGACGCCAGTCGTTGGACGACTTTTTGGGGACCATGTGTAGTGGGGACGCCCATTGACTTTCAGAGGGACGTATGATGCCCATGTTCAACATGTGCTGAAACTCTACGCGTGCGGTGCGCAACTTATATGGTGCTAGTCGACGGGCACGTGCATGGACCGGAGCACCTGGAGTGATGATGTGGTGCGACACCTCCGTCGTGATGGGTGGCAGCTCGGTGCTGTGTCGGACGAGGCTAAGGAACTCGCGGAATAACGATGAATATGGCGAATCATCGTGTGGAAAAGGGAGGTGTATATTCTGCGTTCCCGAATATACCAGAGAACCGACGACTACTCTAGAAGTGACTGGGTCTCTAATCTGTCGATTAAAGACCGTGGTGCTGTAAAAAGTCTAGACCAAGTATGGCGTAAGGAACCCAAGCGACCACGAAAACCCAATGTAAGACATGTTTTAAACCTAGGTCTAAGTTCAGTAGCCGCTATCCATAGGTTTGGATACGGGTACCGTTGGCTGCCTGC